CGCCACCTAACGGGTTTGAGGTGCGTTAGGGCACCTATTTGCAAATAACTCTGGTTTAACCAGTTTGCGTCACCAAAGATTGGGTAAGGACTCAAATTACTTCGAAGAGAAGGTGCTAGGCACTCATCGTGGTCCACAACTGTGGGTCCCGACCGAACTCGAATTATATGAATTAGTCAAACAAAGGCAAAGAAAGCAAGAAGTTTGGGAAGTTTTATTAAACATAAATAATTGGTTTAAAGACAAGATGGGGGGTCCTAAATTTTTTAGCCTAAAGGATCACCCCGTGCAACATAAATAATACTTCGTAACTCCATGAAGATGGGGTGTTACTCGTATTATTCAGCGGGCATAGACTATCATCGCCTGCTACCCGATTACTATCTTTAAGTTGTTACCTAAAGCACACTAGTTGATTCTAAACCGTGCCTTATGTGTGCACTACCCGTCCCATGCCTATGGCCCAGGAGGCGTTTGGACCTCTATTTTGGATAGTTCTAGACTTAACTTATGCTGCTCAAAAATGATAAAACTAGGCGACATACAAAACACATTGGACTTCATGTAAAAGCAATTAAGGTCTCAAGTTAGCCTCCACAATTAGACAACAAATGCACGCGAGCAAATTCTCACATTAAGCGTTAGACAGTTTCAGAATTGAGCCAAATTGAAGTCATTAAGCCCTATAGACATAGTTTGTGTGTGACCTCATGTAGGCAGTTTCAGATGCAAGGTGCCATCTTATAGACAAGATTACACAGTTGTTACATGCTGATTATTGAGATTACATGTTTCTGATTATTAAACCATAGGGACGTTGTGTCTAAGTGATTTACGCAGTAGAGGGAGCAATGAAATCTATTGGAAAAGCCCAGAATTACTCATGTTTTCTGACAATGGCATGAATAAGCAGTAAACATCATTTGAGAAATTCAACATTAACAATTTAGAGCGAGTAGTTGTACCCTATAGGCAGGATCTCTAACGATCAGCTTGGAGCCAATTTTACTACGCGTAGCCCCCTATAAACATGTTTTCTAAGTGAGCATTATGATACAATAGGTAATGGGATAATTAAAATCCTATAGGCATGGTTTCTAGTGCATATGTGTAAGGCAATAGTAAATGAAGTGATCAAAATCCTATAGGCATGATTGCTAGTAAATGTGCTGAGGCGAATTGAAAGATAATTCATTGACATTTATTCCTACAGGCGGGTTTTCTAGCAGCACATAGCAGTAAGAACAGTTACAGCATTTGAATTCATGTTTGCTAACAGGAAGTGTACATGTGTGTGCTTCTCCTAATGACATGATTTCTATAGTGTACATAGAAATAGAATGGCATATATAGCAAGTAAATCATTAAATCCTATAGGCATATTTTCTACCCTTGCACACAAATATCAGAATCTACCCATTCCCCATTTTTACTAACACCTCAATTGTTATTTACAAAGTTATTACAGACCAAATGATGAAATAATTACAAACGTGGTATAAATAATGACACTAGACCCACAGCAAACCCAAAAGAAATACCCCAGCACTATCTAGGCCTTCAGCAGTATACCCAGACTTCCAACAAAGAGCCATATTCACCAACACAACCCAGAATCCATAGAAGAACTTAAGCTAGATTACACAATCATAAATTGACCAATCAATTTACATATTCAGTAGACCATAGGAAGAAAGAGTTGAGTGTCAGGAATAGCGTAGGTCTCAGTAGTAGAGGGAATGACTAAAGGACCCCAAATCCTAGTGTGTCAGAGTTCACAAGAGTCTAAAACGGACCCCGAGCAGTGCTCACACTAGGGAGGTCAGCAGAAAGAGCCTTAATAGACTTGGCTTTCAGCCGGCTAAGAATAAGGAGTTCAGAATAGCATAAGTAACAATGAGGGAGAATGGACAATAGCTGAGGGACAGAACTGGGGAAGTAGCCATAGCCATAGAGAGTAATTAATCAAACAGGCCAGTAGGTTCAGCAGGATTTCATCACATAGCAAAGTACCACACATATTGGGAAGAAGTTGGGGGAAGAAACAGGGTATCAAATGAACAAACGACAGACTGGAAAACATATTAGCATAGAAGCAAGATCATAGTCGATAGAAAATAGTTTAATATAAATTGCAACATATTGTACATGTAGAACAAACACTGCAAGGACTCAGAACAGTGTAAGATAGCAATCTTATACCAAATATCACATATGGGTATTCTGGGATGGTCACAATAGACTAAACAACTAGAGAAGATCTAAATCATGTCACAAAATGATTCAAACAGGGCGTGGAAAACAGATTGAGGTAACTGTTAAGATCTCAATCAGTCACCAATGGGGTATGGGGATCATGTTGAGCGACAAAATAGCAAGTGAACATGTCATAATTAACACAGACATTCTAGCCTTCTCTATAAAGGTTAAAGACAAACAAATAAGCATGAATTAGGGAAACATCTAGACACCCCTGCACTCATATTACCCAAGTTAGGCTTAGGTAAACACTATTAGGAGGAGAGTCAGATGCTAACAGGCTTAGAACAAGGTGAGATTAACAAAATCGTGCACAAAGTAATCCAGAAAATATATTTAAGCCAGGAATTTCAGAGGTGAGAATACATGCAAATCAAGGACATATAGGGATGAAATTATGAGAATCAAGTAGCTTACCAGTTAAACGGACAAAATAAAGAACAGAAGATCCATAAGAACTCAAAACCTCAATGTGTCAAAATTCCCAAGGGCTTCAAAAGAACCCCAAGCAATTCTCGCACCAAGAGAAAGTTCGAACAGTATACCCTCAGTGGCCTTGGCTTTCAGCTGGCCAAGGCAAGGTAAAGAAAAAGATAGTAAAGAAATAACAGAACAGAGCTTCAAATTTTTAGTGAGATTATAGCGATTCCGGTCTGTCCAAAAGGGGAATGGGGAAGGGGTTTATATAGTGGTAAAATAAGCACATAAGTAAGAAAATACAATCAATCAAACCATAAAAGGGAAGAAGAACACATAAATCAATTAAAATCGAATTAGGAGAAGAAACCGGTAAACCCTAGTTTTTTAGGGAAACTAAATATTGACAAAAATATATCAAAAATCGGACACACAGTAGAATATAGGACGAATACAGACATAATAACACTCAAAATCAAAGAATCGAACCCATTTTGGTTCTATTTGAAGAGATCTGGAAACCCTAGTTTTAGGGAAAGTGTAAATTAGCAAAAATACAAACAAAATCGGACTCACACGGTGTAGAATAAAGCGTGTGTAGACGGAATATCGTCCAGATTCAAGATATGGGAGTCAATTGGACAGAATCAAAGTGGTAATACTTGCCATGTTTAGGGAAGTACTAGGTCATACCATGGAGAATCAACCAATAGCGGAAACATACTAATATGGTAAGTAGATGAGAGGAGTAGAAGAGGGATTAGGGAAAGGGTTTTGAGAGGTGGCGGCTAGGGTTCGTAGGAGAAGAAAGTGGAGAGATTGAGAGCGTTTAGGGGCGGCGGGTTAGAGGGAAATGGGTTAGGGTTTTAGGTCTAGGTTAATTAAAACAGGGGGGAAGGATGTGGGCCGTTGATCGTAAAAGATCGACGGCTGGGATTTAAAAATGAACGGGGCGGGTTAAAATAAAACGGGTACCGACCGGGTATTAGACAGAGTCGCTTGGTCTTGGGCCAGGGGTAATTGGGCTAGTTTGGGTCCGAATTCTGGTTTTAAAAAATGGGCTATTATTTAAATACATAAAATTTAACAAAATAATTTATAAAAATGCTTAATAAATAAATGTTATTTATGCAATAAAATGATTAACAATAATAATTTAGCATTATAAAAATATATAAGGCTATTTCGACATAAATAGTATAGGTAAAAAGCAATTATATATGAATATAGGCTATTATTGCAAAATTAGGTAAATAGCTTAAAAATGCAAACTAATTATACGAAATAAAGTAAAAATATTATGAAACATATATGAGGATGCAAAATAGTAATTTGGATGATTAAGTCATCACAAAATAATTTGAAGGAGTAATTAATAATTATTCAAGTAATTTAAATGCAAAAAAAGCTCTAAAAATTATGGAAAATTATAGAAAATGCTTGTATAGATTTGTAAACTAAATAATGATGCACAAATGATGTTTTGAAAGTGTTATATATTTGAAAAAAATATGAGGGCAAAATTGGATATCAACACCAAACTCACGATACAATATATTATGTATTGTATAACTATATCTATACAACTTTTATGCAAATTAATATACAAGTATCTTGCATATACGGCTTTATATAAGTGTATACAATTTTCGTACAAAATTTTAACACAAGAACCATTCAACCATCCCATTTAAAATCGAACCTACCACCAATATCCACTTCAAAAGATCTTCACTCAAACATTAGGAGGAGGAGGAGAAGCTACTGTGATCGATTTTGGATGTAGTTCCTTAGAACCAACTTGTAAAGTACCAAAATCAATGAATCACCTAGAATTTTCATAACTTTAAAAATCTTAGCAACTTGACCTCATTAGTTTGAGTTTAACTGTGAAGTCTAGTGTTGTTTCATTAATTTTTGCAGAAACATCCCAAGCTCCATTATTAGGGCATTGAGAAACTTAAGAGAAAGGAAAAATAGATAGAGAGGAAGGAAACATTCTAGAAAAAAGAAGAGAGAAATGTAACATAAAAACAAAACTAAGACCCGATCAATCTTATGAGCTTGTCAGGTCTTTCACCGTCTATTTTTCCTCAAAAATGTCAAACTCTGCAATTATAGCAAATGAACACCAGTTAGCTTGTGTTATAGGTTTAAGAAAATGATGTGAACCAATAAGTTTTAGCCCCAAACTTATGGAAGATAGTGGCATTACTAATCCTCAATATGCCATTTTCATATTCTTTAGCCATTGATTCACATTCTCACTGAAGCTAAAATGGCAAATTCATTCATATGATGCAGAAAATTTAGGACAACATAAAATTTCCCAAGCACAAAGCAAGAAGCTAGTTTATTCAGATTCAACAGTGACAAATCTATGTTACAAGTTCTGATCAATTCAAAAATACTTCTGTTCTATTTCTCACAGAGACAACAAACATAGGGATGCAAAAGGAAAGCTTGAGAATATTACTGCCAAGTTTATCGGCGTAAAGGAATAGGAATGTATTTTTGTTGACATGTTGAAGTTTGGCTCCTAAGTCAACTTGTGAATAGTTTTCATATCAGCAGCTTCCTGGATAGTCCCCTTCTCAACATGGTCCCACCACTTGAACAAGAAGTTGTCGACGACAAGTCTGAACCAAGGGGATAGCTTCAAACCTTCCTCACCTGCATCTGCTTTCCTCAAAAGCTCTTTCAGTTGTTCTTGGTTCACATATTTGATATCAGCAACTTCATCTGGGTTCGGGTTCACATTAACATCACGGACGATGAATAGAAGATAATCAACTGCAATAACAAAGACGGATCAGCCACAAGTTATACCACGGTCCACTCTCTGTGAGATCAAATGCAAGCAACAAATGTTTGGTACTAGTAAATCCCTTGCAAAAGATCAAAAGTAGTTCAACAAATGATAGAGACACTAAGATCAAAGTACAAAAGTGATGTGTCATTACGTTCGTGCTCTCCCCATTTTCCATCAGATGGTGCCTTGTAAAGCATACGGCCCAATGGCGTGAACTGGTCAACAGGGACATGTTCAGCTGGAATACCCAATTCATCAAGAAGCTTCCTTTGTGCAGCGTTTCTTACTCCTAAAGTTTGAAATTATGACATAGAATTTAGATAGAGTTAATTAGAAGTTATGATATAGATGAGTTAGACAAGAGAAGCCGGGGTATAATTAGAATTTCAGCTCAAACAAAGAACATACCAAGAGCATTCTCCTCAATTAGCTCAGACTCTCGGTAGAGCGGATGGCTGCAGCATGTGTTCGTCCACACCAAAGGAAAGGTTACCTTTGTTGCAGATCGTTGCTACACATAGAACACGACAATAAAATATATTAAGCATTTTAATCTTCGAAAGCAACAACAATGCATCTCAACTACAATAATTTGACGACTTATGACTGCTTATTTTATAGCTTGTGTCAATACTAATATTCTAATATTGAGATGATATCTGACAATACCAAGAACTCCTGCCAGTGTACTACGTAATCAGCCTTTTCTGTAACAATTTGTACTGAAAGGAAAAATAACAACTGAGGTGTTTTGACAGCAATTACACTACAACACTTGCTGCCACATACCTGAAGAAGAAGCTCATACTTCGAGTTGAAAAGAAATACACTGAAAGCTCTGTGCAGCAAATTCAAAGATTCAATCCTTTCCATCAAATGACCTGCACATCAATAATGGATTATTTGGGCAAAAATATGAGACATATAAAAACAATGATCATCTAAACAAGAACGTGATGCTTTCTCTTCTTTTTTTTGTCCCGGTTGTAAGTGGAAATCAGAGAAGTTCTCCTCTCTTACTATTTTCGTGGCAGCTAAAAGCTGAATGTGAAATAGTAGCCATCCTTTCATCCTCTCTTAATCATATCCTAGAGTTTACTTTTTTCTAATCTAGAGTTTACTTAGCTACAACAACAACAACAACAAACCCAATGTAATCCCATAAATGGAATCTGGGGAGGGTAGTGTGTACGCATAAAATCCACACCTTTGATTACCAGATATATAAACACAGAAGGGAAAAAAGTTTACTATTCTAATCTTTCCATATCTCACCTTTCACTCAGGAAACAAATGCGAGGGACTTGTTTTCATGTTCCTTTCTGTACAATAAAACACTTCAATTGGTGCAATAAGAGTGCAGCAGATCTAGTACTGCTGCATGCCCTTCTATTCATCCACTCTATAATACCCATATCCTTGTATAGGAACAAAGAATCGTATTAACCAAATAGCCACCTGATATAGTTAAAGAATCTGGACTTTCTCGACTCGTTACGAGACTTTTCCAAGTGATGCAAAGTTAATACTTTTCGATAGTTAAGCTCTTTAGAGGTTATTTGGGTTAACACAAATTTTCACAGCATAAAGTTCCAACTAGGTCAGCGTAGCTAATAGGTCTCCTAAATCTATCTAAGCAGTTAGCTAAAATTGATAGAAGAATAAAGCAGAGATCTCTCCAAAAAGGACAGTGTGAATTATATGACAACCTAATCCAAAAGCTTTAACAGGTAGAAAGGAGACATTTATTTTTCCTATTTCAGGTCAACATGCTCCCCTCATGTGGCCAAATTCTCTTTTATGCGCCAACCAACTTGAAATTCTGTCTGCTGCACCATATTGAATTGTGGCCAACTCATTAAAAGTTTAAACAGTTTGATAGAGGACTTATTTATTTTATCTTTGATTTGCAAAAGACACCATCATGATTTAGTTGAAACTGCCTGGTAAAGAAAGTGCATCCAGCACTAAGGCAGTGGGGCAGAAAAAGACTGTTTAACAACAATGTGCAGAGAAAGTATCCACCATACATTCGTTGAATACAAAAATCAGTAAAAAGAAAAATCATTATGAATTATCTGCCTTTTATTTTTGAAATGGACAAAGATGCTGACTGATTCAATAGTTGCTATCACCTAAAGAAGATAAGCACGGAATTGAAAGTTTTAGTTTTTTCACTTTATAAAGGGATCTAACATATGAAGTACTTGAAGTTAGAAAATTTGTAAATTCTAGATTATCCACCAGGCACCACCAAACTACCTTGATTGCATATTTGCATTGACCTAACATGACATGGCATTGACAATTTGACATTGAATCACGGAACCCTTCAATATCAAAATTCAGCCACCTAGGAAACTACACAAGAAGATAACAAACCGGGACAGTTCCAAAGACAAAGCAAAAAACTGAACTTACAATTGTACTTGGTGTCATGACCAACAACCTGGTCATTCTCATCCACCAAAATACATCTGCAAGAGTTGAAGAAGAGAAAGTGTTAAACCAGGAGAAAAAGGTAAGGAAGTTGCTGAAATTCTACCAATGCAGATCAAACATTGACGACAAGAAGTTGAAAGAAAATCTAGAACTGATTGGCTTTCTGGGTCATGAAATGCGACTTAAGTTCACAAAAGCATAGAGGCAGAGCTAGTTTATGAAGTGCAGGTTCAAACGAACCCAACAGCTTTTGCTTAGATCCTGTATTTATATTAGGAAATCCATTATATATGTCTATATATTAAGTACGAATACAATAACTATAATGAGCTATGGGTTCGTATGCAAGTTCAAAGCCTATAAACTTCAAATCCTGGCTCTAATTAAGGAGGCAAAAATTAGATCTGATCTTGCATGTAGAATAGCAATCTCCCTTAAATTTAGAAAGTCAAGTATTTTCTCCCAAATATAAGAAACAAATAGCAGGTATGTCATAACACTATAATTAAAAGATTAGCAATCTAATTACAAATCATTCATATCACAACCAAAACAATAAACCAACTCCCTTATCTTAAATCTTTTTAGTAATTTCGCATTTCCAATACCACAACCAACAACAACAGACCCAGTTTAATCCCACAAGTGGGGTCTGGGAAGGGTAGTGTGTACACAGACGTTACCCCTACCTTGAGATGGTAACAAATCTGAATCCAAAACCACATATTAAAATCGTGTTGGGCATGAAAGGATGTACGCTCAACTGAAAATCATTTTCTAGTGTTTGGTTACTTTGAATTAAAATGTTAAGAAAAATCCTTCAATAAAAAGGAGAAAAACGAAATTTTGTCACTTATGGAGAGAAGTAGTTTTCCTTCCTCTATATATATCGTTAACTCGAACTTCATATAACTTGCTTCTGTCAATACACTGACATTGTTTGTTAACTTTCGATAACTATATCCTCATGTATAACTTGTACGATTTTCACACATGACCAGTTTTATGCACAGTCAATCAAACGCCAGAAAGATCTAGAAAATGATTTTAAGTATAAAAAACAAAAATAGCATATGCCTATTATTTAATTTAAATGAAAAATCAATGAAATGAATTTCAAACAAGCTGAGTATGAATCTTCTGTATCCGTTCCGCTATTTCATTAATTAAACATTCTGTCTAAAAAAGCAAATTAACGATTCTAGACATTTTCTAAATCTCACATTGACATACAAGAGAAGACTTTCTGGCAAAAATGAAACAATTAGTATAAGGGAGGAGAGAGAGAGAGAGAGAGAACGAACTCGTCTTCAAACATGAGACGGCGTTGGACAGCGTCCATATCGGCATCAGCTTCAACATCACCCATTTTGCAGAAATATAGTGAGATTTGATTGGAGAAGAAGAGAGTGAGAGTAATGGTGAAGAAGGAGAAGTTATATAAGAGAAGATTTAAGGTGACACATTTGAATAAGATGGCTTAGATCTTTGTTGTTATTGGAGTTTCCGCCATCATTTGTTGATTATTCCCCTTTTATTATATTATTCATCCTTACATTATTCCCTACCTTGACCATTACCTAATTTTGTCACTTACTAAATAATACTCCAACTAACTATGGTAACAAATTTAACAAGATATTACATAACCCAAAATGAAGAATAAGAAGAAATGGTTTATCATACTAAAGCGGTGGTTACACCGGTCATGTTGTATGTGGATAGGTGTTGGCCAGTTAAGAACACATATCCAGAAGATGAAAGTAGCAGAAATGAGGATGTTGAGGTGGATGTGCGGGCACACTAAAATAGATAAGATTAGGAATGAGGATATTCGGGAGAAGGTGGGCGTGACCCCCATGGATGACAAGCTGCGGGAAGCGAGGCTCAGATAGTTCGGACTTCATATTACCGAAGACATGGCCCTTTATAGGAAACTGTGGAGGTCGAGTATTAAGGTTGGGTTAGGAGGTAGTTGTGCATAGTTTTACTTCGCACCAGAGTGAGGCTAGTCTGATAAGATTTTATCTTAGACTGCTAGTGGTTAATGTTGTGTTCACACTTCTCTTCCGTTTTTCATAGTGTCGGGCTTTATCTACTGGTTATTGTTTGTTTTTCATCTATTTTCTGGTTCTTGTGATGCTGTTATTTTTTCTATGGTTTCTGTTTGATGGTACTGATATATTGCATCTTTTCGTCTTCTTTTTGTCTTTTTTTTCGTCTTCTTGAGCGGAGGGTCTATCGAAAACAGCAGGGCCGGAGCCAGATTGTCTGTTGCGGATTCGGCTGAAACCAATAGCTTTGATTCAAACTTTATATTTATCTTTAAAAATTCATTGATTCTGTATAAATTTTTATTGCAGAACTCAATAACTTAAATTAATTAGAATTTCGAATCCATAAGCTTGAAATTTTGGCTCCGCCTCTAAGAAACAACCTCTTTACTCCCTCGGGGTAGGAATAAACTTACACTACCCTCCCCAAAATTAGATTTCACTGGATCGTTATTATTGTTGGTTTATTATACTAACTTTCCTCTAATTAACGAACAATGGGAGGTAAACAAAATATTCGTAAGCAAGATTAGTGTTACAAAATGAAACTTAAGAAGAGGTCTCTGAAATTATTACAAAAAATTGTTTGAATAAAAATCATCACTAAAAAAACAAAAAGGAAACATAACAATGGCCAATGTGTAAGTCTGCATTTTCTTTTGCATTCTCTCTTCTTTTTTTTTCTTCTAATTTTGATTGGGAAAAAATCACTAGTGCCAGTAAACCATCGACATGTCCTATTCAATGATGCTAGTGCTGTTTAGCTGATATTTTCCGGTTGAGATCCCCTCCAGTAAACTTTTGTCCAGTTTTACTCAATAGGGCTTTAGATGGTTGCCAAGTGTACTAAATTTTTTAAAGGTGTTGATTTATTTAACTTACTCATGGACTAACTAGGGCATAAAATGTGGGTTAATTAGACACAATCCCTATCATCGTTACCATTGCATGTCCCCCAGCTTCATCCTTCCATTCCGCAAGAAACATTATTGTATTCCGTTATTAAGAAACTAGTATCATATTCTAGCAAAGTTGCTAAAACCAAAATGACACCTAATATCTCTCCCTCTTTCATGAACTTAGAGAAATTGATTACTAAATTGTAAGTAATATCTTTCTACATATAATATAAATTCACAAGTTCAAGTTGCAAATCAAAATTTTGCAACTAATTAATTTATTCAGCGATGAGCATTTGGTAAGCATGGTCTGTTCTCTGTTGTGACCTTAGATGGGAGTATATAGGGTGAATAAAAGCCATTGAAACGCAATAAGTTGATTCATTATTGACTAAGTGATGATACAAGTTGATATTTGACACCTTAGAGATTAGGTTATAAGCATAGGTGTATAAACCCATTTCTTATCTTATTAGTATATTACTATATTATTATACGATAGCGAGTTTTTGATGCGTACCATGGTAATGATACAAGGGATGGTAGGTGTTGTGGAACATACAATGGCAATGATGCAAGGATGGTAGGTGTTTATACCCTATTTAGTCCTTGAGTAAGTTAAATAAATCAACACCATTAAAATTTCTTAGTACACATGGCAACCATCTAAAGCCTTATTGAGAAAAACTGGACAAAAGTTTACTGGAGAGGATCTCAACCCATTTCTTACAACGAATTCACTATTATCGGTCAAAGTCAAGTTTGGCATTTTTTATTGTAGTTACTTATCTATTTGATGCCTGCAATAAAAAAAGGAATAAAACTCTAGATTAATTATAGAGCCCGTTTGGTTTAGCTGATTTAGAGTAGCTGATAAGCATTAGGTGCTGAAAAGCACTTTTAAGTGCTGAAGCTGATTCAAAAAATAAGCAGTTACGTGTTTGGATAAAAGTGCTGAAATTAATAATATGCAGCTAAAGAACTGGGTATACGAAGAGTTTTGTTTTAAAAAGAAGTATTTTAGGGATAGAATAATAAATATTTTGGTCAAACTTAAACTGCTTATAAGCTGAAATTTGATAAGTTGGGGGAGACCAACTTATGGCTTTTGGCTTATTTTTGGCTTATAATCACTTAACTTATAAGCACTTTTAATTTTACCAAACGCGTAGATAAGCCAAAAAGTGCTTATAAGCCAGTTTGACCAGCTTATAAGCTTAGCCAATAGTCCCTCCATCTCATTTTATGTATTGATATCTGATTAGATATGTAGTTTTAAAAATATAATTTGAAATTCAAAATAAAACTAAATTCTATCTTGATTTTAAATTTTTTATTTTTAAGCAAAACTAAAGATACAATTAATTTAAAATTAATTTTTTAAAATATTTCCTTTAATAGGCTAAAAACGAAAGAATGACAAGTAAAATGAAATACAGAAATGACAAAAATCTGAAAAAGATACGTGCCATCACGTGCCAGATTCATTTCCTCCATCCTGTTGTTAGATTCACGAAATAAATCCAGTCAACTGAGGACACCTATAGTCCTATACCAACAAGATTTAGGGTCCACATAAAATTTATAGTAGATTCTCCCCTTTATTTCTTTTTTGTATTTTGTTTAATTTAATACTCCTACTTAAAAGTTACTAAGTAGGCGTTTGAACATGAATTCCAATTTTTTTTTTCAAATTTGGATCTCACTAAAATTTGAATTGAAGATGAAGTTATATTTGATTATAATTTTTGCAATATATTTGGATGTCTTTTTTTTTCAAAATCATGAAACATGATTTATACCCCAAACTTGTAAAAATATTAAATTCACCCCAATTTGATTATCCTACTTGAAATAAACAATCAAAATGCTATTGTTTAACTATTATCATATTCTGCTTTACTGCAATACACAGAAGATGCAAAATCAACTAGGACTGATGTTCCACTATCAATCGCCAAAGATGTATCTGTCAAAGATTAAAAACTGATGGGGTCGTTTTATAAATTTTAAAAATATAGGGTAAATTGGTAAAACTAAAAACTAACAAATTCTCATTTTCAATTGAAAAAGTGGTGAGAACCAGTTTTTCAAATTTGAAAATGGATTTTCAAGTGAAAAAGAAAAAATTGGTAAAAATGGAATAACCAAACATTGTTTTCAAAATATTTTTTGAAAAAAAGAAAAAATTTTGTATGTCCAAACGGGCTCTAAAACTTATTCCTTTGTTTTGGTAATAGTCAGAATTAACTATGTGAGTTAAAATTATTTTTCATTTTATTAGACAACAGTTTTATAATATTATATCAAGAAGTATTAAATTTGATTGCATATTAGGTTTTTGTAGTTGTTATAATTTATTCCATAAAAGTATTTATAAATGAGAAAATATTTGCACCCCCAAAAAGGCATAATAAGTTGGCATGTGCATGTAACATGACTTTTAAACTTGGAATATCATATGTATGGCTCAAAAACGTTAAAATATCATGGTATAGCCAGTTTTCACACTGGTCAATGAAAAATAGCCAGCGTTTATCAAGTCAATGAAAAATAGCCACTATTTTGCTGCAACAGGGACCGGTCCAGTATAATATACGGGAGTTCTGGTGCATTTGTGTACGAACTCCAGCATATTATGCTGGACCGGTATACTTTGCTAACTCCTGTAAAATTTGCGGGAGACTGGAGCACCAGTGCTCCAAATTCCAGTATATTATACTGGACAATTATACTTGCTGGAACTCCCGTAAAATTTGCGGGCGTATTTTTCCGGATTTCGAACAGTGTTTTCGCTCAGATTTAAAGTGGCTAAATTTCGATGACTTTTGAAACTTGGCTATTTTTCAACGGCCAGTGATAAATCTGGCTATTTTTGAATTTCTCCCCTCAAAAACATGTAGTGCACAAACATAAGATCTCTGCAAATTATGCATCACAACAGTATTATTAATTTAAAGAAAAGGAATATCTAGAAAGAAAGTATGTAACATGGGGAAATAGAAAGTGATCCGATTAAGTTGTAATATCACAAAGTGATGTGGTGGAGTGGATAAGATTATTTACTCTCAATTAAAAGTTACAATTTTTCTCTTAACTGGATTTTATGCAGCACAAATCTGAATTAATCGTGTCAATAATTATTAAAAAAAGTTGACCTAAGTGTGTCAAGTGTCAACCAACCATGGTCCAAGATACAACATTTTCAATTTAATTTGTAGAAGAATTGTGTAGTCAATAATGACTTGTTACCTAACTTAAAATCATTATAGTAGTCGGAGAAATGCGACTAGGTTTGGAGTCAGCCGCAACCTTACTTTGAATGACAAATTATATTTTCGGTCATTAGCAATGGCTCTGGACTATGCCCACAAGGTAGGTGAATTGCCGAGTAATTAAATCTAAAGAGTATTTATTTGCACTCCATATATGCACTAAAATAACAAGTGTGCGATATAAGATTATATATAGGAATTATCACTTATACATTTCTTACCTTAATTTATCATTTAATCAAAGTTATTTAATATGTTCTGGTGTATGTGTAATAGTAGA